GMAKTGTCGCTSGTGTAGCCRCATCATGCRYTGGYGACTTTGAGAAAATCGYRTCRCCTGCGCAAGTGAAAAATTGCTCATGTAGCCRCGGCTTAAAGTGCTTTGACRCCAACTGCCAGTTTTTTTGTGAAAAAAAGATGGTGATCCTTGATTGGATTGGTTCTTTATYCCCTTTCTCACTATTTCCTCCTCTTTTCCTCCTCTTTATTTCAATCCYTTCCGTTCCAAGGAGACAGTTCGTTTAAGAGTAAACCTCACTGTTGAGTACTCAGTGTCAGGGTTGCTTCGGCTTGAAATGTTTGAAGAAGTACGGGAAAGCTGTGATAGTGGGAATGTCGATGGTGGTGTACCATCTGAGTCTGCATTCTAAACGAAAGAAAGAAGGGGCATCAAGATAATGTTGTATGCTAAAAGGTTCTTGTTGTAAAACTTGTTTTTATATTTCTCATGGGTCCATTTGTGTTTTCAGCATTTTACGACGTCAAGATTGAGTCAATAATTTATTAAATAAACATTAATGGYCTTACTTGATTATTATTGGATGAAGATTCCTTATTCGCATTCTGTTCTTCAATGAACCAGTTTGGTCCACAAGGTGGACAGCTGGAAGAAAAGTTTCGATATGTTATTGTTTTGTTTGGCTGCTAATCAACTTATCTCAATAAGCTGAGTGATACAGATGTTTTACTGTTTACCATGTTGGACACAGACGATAATAAACAAACAGAAAACCCATTTACCTGCTTTGCAGACTATATCATTCATACTTAGGGTATTCATTAGGAATGCAAAGCACAAATAAAAGTCTGTAAAGCAAGCTAAAAACCCTAGTGTTTTACTTGGATTAATGAGCAAACAAACWTTTACCCAGCTCTGTATGAATCCAGGAAAGACTGCGGAACAATATCCATCATGTCTAACCCTTCTTTGATCTTGAGCAGCAGTTCATATTTCTCTCTTCCACGAACCTTAAGGGAAAAAAACAATACTTGTACCAAGCTAAATACTGTCTAATGTGACAATAGTGCACAAAGCATATTTTGTAATCCGGAATGCAAGATTTGGTGTTAGTAGTAAGTCCTTATAAAAGAGAACAGGGCACAGAGAGAGTATACAAAGACCTCCACTCTACAGGTTCCGTGGTAAATTTTCACTACAAAATTCCAGGACTTTTCAAGTACTTTTTAAGCACAAAAATGTGATTTTCAAGGACTACTTTTGAAGTTATTTTTTGATGTTTGCGGACATTTCAATCCAAAAGCCAACAAACAATGTCAATTTTATCAGATTCAAGGAGTTTTCCAGGAGTTTTAGTGATTTTTTCCATTTTCAAGGGCATTTCAATCACCAGGACTTTTCAAGGATAAAGTCGCATGAACACTGATTCTAGATCTGCTAAGAAAAATATTAATTTAGAGTGTGACTTACTGATATTGTAAACTCTTCCTCTTCTTCTCTCTTTATTCTTTTAGAAGCCGACAATGTGTGCAATTGAAAGCCTTCAGCTATTTTAGTTCCACCTTTAATGAAATAAATATAAATAGTTATAAGAAGCAACGTTGGAAAACTTAGTTCACTGACCGAGAGAAACTCTCATCCAACAGTTACTGCTGACAATGACTAAAACTGAAAGTTTGCAGTCATTTTTTTTACTCTTCTAGTAGTCAGAYGTTAACTCACTTCTTTTCAATGGTGGACGAGGGACCTCTATTAATGGCTCAGCCTCAGAGCTGGTGCATGCTTGCGTAGCATGATCTTCAACAGGTGTCGGTGGTGGAGTTTCTTGACAAGATGACACAACTTCAGATTGAGGTTGTGGCTGAGGCTGTGGCTGTGGCTGTGGTGCACTAGTTGAAGACTTTGAGATTTTTTTATTTTCGCCAGTTTCTTCATTCCCTCTGTCCCTTCCTGGACAYGCACAGATCCTGGAATCTAGGACTTTTCTTCCAAGAACTTGGCCACTGGAAATGCACAGAATGCATCTATTAATGCTATAATCAGTTAATTAATTAATGTACTTAATTAATGCAAACATGTACTTTTTACATACTTGTTTTCAAGGCTGAAAATTGTGTTAATAAGTCTTCTGTTGAGTCCACCAGGACATGAGTTAAAGCACATATATTGAATCATCTCAGTGAAGTAGAAACTACCAGCTAAACACAACACCATAAAGAATAACCCATTAGTAACAGAAAATTACTCTCAAGATACCTCTTTCAATTACCTTCAAAATCTCTGACTGGTATAGTGACYRTGTGTCGTCCAGTGTACGGACAAGTTTCRTACTTAGCATTATTGCATTCACACCTCAAGAGATGCTTAGGCGCACAGTGCCCTGAAAGATGACAAGTCACATGGTGAATTTAATGTCATATAACAAAAAAAACAGATSCTATTCTCACTTTTTTATGCTTTCAGTTTGCACTCAAGAGTAGAAATAAAAAACAAAACAAAAGCTTGTTTTCATCAGTACTATCTTATATAACAGGCCTTACCRTCATTGAATTTTGTCATGTGATTCATACATCTCTCTACAACGTCTTTGAAGAACTCTGGTTGTTTGTAAACTACAACACACTTTATATATGAACCAGGAGGTGGACGACCTTCACAAGGAAATGGAATTTCAATGAAAATTGAAAAAGCATAAAACACTCACCAAATATTTCACACTTCAAGCATATTAAAGGGATAAAATAGTCCAGTTCAAAGTCACTGAACACACACAATGATCATGAAGTCTTCCCTGGGATAGCAGCAGATTAGGAAAAGCTCAAGACAACATTACATCAAATTTGTGGCATGAATTAAATGTAGTTTTTCCACATTTTATCTACCCTTACCACTAAAAATGAATCTTATGGGAACCAGGCTTCTCATTTTCACAAAGAGCTTTTCGAGTTGTGTTGAATAAGTCCATGGAGCTGATTTGACTGGCTGTCCCTTCTCTTCCTGGAAGCCAATGTGGAAATTATAAGGACCTGGAAAATCTGTATTTGGTGGTACAATGCAGTGATGGGATGACATAGCTTCTTGAGTGACTTCAGCGGTGGGCATTGGTCTCAACTACATGTAAGTRAAAAGTGACAAACTAAGATCGAAGTATGAGGTTCTCTTAGCAGAGTTGTTTTCATAAACCAATGAAATACTCCACACTCATAGAATTCTTGTATTTTGCAASATACATACAAACCTGTTGGTGCTGGTTTTCAACTGCTTTTTGTGGTGATTCATTGGGTACCATGTTACTAAAATCAGGAGGACTGTCACCAAAATCAATCTACAAAAGTCAAGGAATGCATTCATTATTTTTAAAAATAGTTTTCTAACAAAATTATGTAAATAAGTACAAAATTTGCTTTCTATTGCAATCATGCTCTACCTCAGATTTTATACTTGATACTCTTGGAAATGAAAACAACCTTTCGATATTTATCTGTACATTGTCTAAAATATAAATTTCCCACATATTAAAATGGCATCTTATATTAGCATTGGATAAACAGTGAGTGAACCCTTGATAAGTAATTGAAACGATGGTAACATTCCCTCTGTTCTTGTCCTTTCATGAATTCACATAGTGTAGCTATTTCTTAGACAGGAACTGTTTACCTTGATTGTTATCATCTGTTAGGTGTACACCATATGGCTGCATGCGAAACCTAGAGGCATACCTAGAAATAATACAAAATATCAGTGATAAATCTTGATACAGTCTCATTTATTCTGGGTTTCACAGTRACAGTTGGCTGTTGTACGAAGGGRGAATAGCTCCTCATCCAGTGGATAAAATCAATACTTGGATTTTACAAGCTTTCATACAGAAAGCTCCAGAAAATTAACACATCAGTTAAGAAACTAGTTCGAACGTTAYTTAATTGTTATTTTGATTTCAATAGCATACTCTGTTGGTTTGTCATTGTCGAGCAGCGATTGTAAGACGTCATATGTCTCCTGAGACATCAGCTCCAGAGAATTCACTGAATCCTGCGACATGCTTTGCTTGCAGCTAATATGGGAACAAACAATGTTCAAGTATTAGGTAGAATGAATACTAATAATTCTGAATGAATAAAATGAATGAATGAGAGATGTATAAATAAATGAAGAAATGAATGAACATGGATAAACGAATAAAAYAATGGGTGAGCATGRAATAGATAAATGAACATACAAAGAMAACCAAATCAGCGCGGAACAAATTGAGACAGTTTATGTGCAGTTTGTTTGTCATTGGCATTACAACATTCTACCGTGGGATCCCCCTCAGAGGAAAAGTAAATATAKCACTGGATTCTGATCATACCAACAAATCAAAGACTAAAACTACGAAACCGAAGAGAAACTTAGTACATTTTACTTTGAAACACATTCAAAACAATGAACAAAATACATTTCAAAGTTATATGGATCGAAAGTTCAGCTTTGCCGAGAATCTGCAGAAAAACAAGCTTTTATTACAATCAAAATAATACGAGAATAGTAAAAAATAGGTTGTTTGTTTAAAAAAGCCAATATAGAGGCAGATTCACGTGCAAAACACTGAAAAAGTGCMAAATATTTCTATTTCTCTTTTCAAAATACGCCATTTTATACCTAGATCGGCTTGGGATTGAACATCTAGTAGCTTTTTGTGAATAATAATTTCAATACCGTTTGGACAACTGACAAACTTACCTAAATAACCGTGAGTACGAAGGCCAGCGTGATAAATAAAGGCAAAAAGAGAGCGAAAAMAGCACCAGCGAACACACAGCGAAACAAACAACACAAACTACTGACCTGAAATATCCCCGCGATTCAGATCAGAGGTAATMTGTATAATATCAACCAATCAGTGATCCTTTTAGAAGTACCCCTCAGTCCACTAGCCAATCAAAAGTGTCGATATATTTGACAGAAATGTCTGATCCACGAAGTGCTCCACGTGCAAAATTATGCGGGCAAATCATGAATAAAGTAAACAAGMTSGRAAAAAATWCCAAAAACGTTTAGATTTAACCCATGTGTAKCAGARTAAACYATATTTTCAGCATGGAAGCTGTCTATAAGCGTGAACAAACAGAAACGTGGGAAAATTCCCGCGAAAAGAYGTCTGATTTGCATAATTGCTGAAACGTGAAKCAGGCATGTTCAAACTTGCCCGCTCGATCAATGGTCTTGWAAGCTCAGCGATTTTCGTTTCTCAGGTGTCTGACTTGATTGTGTCAACTTTATCATGTGAAAATTGAATTCACGCGACCTTTAGATAACCTTTTATTGGTTTATCGAGAAATTTKTCAAAGTTTGAAATGTCGCCATTGGATACTAATAGTTAAGTCCTTTCAAAGTATGCTAATAGCTSRACAACCGGACATAACCATTGTTTATAGAAAAGAGATTTCTAAAGAGAAAGTGGTCCTTGACTTATTACAGCCTTAAATATTTTTTAAGATTGGACTCTTCGGATTTCAAAGCAGAGCGCTCTCAAACTGTTGAGTGAAAGTGWGAAGTGCTTCCTTTGAAAGGTGTAGCCGCATATCTAGACCACCTTGTCGAGATGTGCCCGGCGTTCTTTATCAGCGTTCACGTAAATGTGATAATCTCTAATGTTTATTAATAATAATTGAGGATAATCACTTAATTACAATCTTTATTGACTTTAAAGTGGTTCTTTCATTTCGTTATTTCTGCTCATGCTYATTGTAGCCGTCCTAAAATGAAATGAAAACGAAAGAAACAGATATTGGTAATGACGTCGTTTTCTCGCACAATGCATGATGGTACACGTACTCGGTGAAATACATGTAAGTTAAGTATTTTTAAATGGTGGTAAAGAAAGTGATTTTTTTTCATTTATGTGAATGGATCACAACTAACTAACTAACTATTTTACCTAGGATCAGTGCTGTGACTGTGACGGGATCGAAACCATGAGGAACGTGTAGTTCTTTGATGCACATCCGACAGGTTTTGGTYGTGATGTACTGAAAAGGCATGAAACAGAGATCAGAAACGCGCGCTCTGATTGGTCAATGAGCATATGCTTTATTTCATCACCGCTAGCACGACGCGTACTGCAATTTTACAAGAACAAAAGGAATAAAAACTTGATTGTGCTTAATATTAGATTTAATAACCCATCAGTAAAAAAGGCGCGCATCTTTCGTTCCAATCAATGATGAAGATATTTACACGTGACTATAATAAAATCAAAGTATGCAAACCTCGATCCAAGGGGCGATGCTRTTATGCCATGGCATTGCACTAATACCAGTCGTCCAATGAGCAGCACTAATCAGAACTGTAGGAACTGAGGTGTAGTTTCCATCAAATGTCATGACCTAAAAAAAAATTGTACATAAACACTTCACTTGTAGAAGTCTTTAAAAGTTTCCTACACCCTCGAGTCCAACGCGACTGTAACCGCTGTGTAATGCGCGCGTCGGATGTTGTTACCTTGACTCAAACTCTCGCAACGCATTACTCAGAGGAAATTGCGCGAAAAGTCGATTGCGTTAACTTCAAGCATGCTTTGCGTACCTGGCAAAAGGCAAAGTTGTCTTTGTAAAGAGGCATGTTGTCGTTAGGAAAAGTTATAACTCGTTGTTCAGCCATCATGTCTGCTGGTAGTGTGTTATAGGCGATCCAGTTCTGTGAAGAACAAAAAACGGACAGAAATCATCACCTTCATGGGGACGGAAAGGAAGAACATATGCTTGTCTGATTAGAAACACAAACAGAACTACTCTCTTGCATTATTGCAAAGAAACCATCAAAGGTTGTCTTTTGTTGTGGTCTAAAGCATCGAATACAAGAACTGYGCTCCCATCATGCTTTGCTCTAGAAAATGCCATCACTGCGCATTTTCAATAATTTACTACTGCGCATGCGCTTACCACACGGATGTCTTTGTGAAGSCCGTCAAAATTCTGCAACTCACGAAGACAGATGTGAAATGACGTCATTGTCAGGTCCTCAATCCATATGGTGGCGGCATCGTGTTTCATCCCAGTAGCCATGTGYTCAGCGGTTACAAGAACATTTGGAGTTGTGTTAAAATTGTCCTGTAAAAAAAYTCATGTCTCATTTAACGAGAAGATACTAACCTTTGTTTTATGCTACCTGTATGTATTCTTTAGCGTATTTTGTACCATTTGATATCAAACAACGAATTTTACTTAGGCACACTACCTGTGGAAAGTCAATCTTTTTGCATGTCGTTCCATCCCACCAATCAGAAATCTCCTCTTCTCCAGCAACCGATTCTCTAGGCGCACCTTGATACGCAATGTAGTCCACAAATGTGAGCCCACGGTCAGGTGTAGGSCGGTCWCCCCTTCCAGCCTTAAGCGCGCAGACACTAAATGAMGTAGAGTTTATATTCTCGGTCCAGGTTACCGCGGCATCGTGTACAAAGTCTGACGTCAGGTTAAAGTAATTGATTGACGTTTGYACGTGAACACGGCGTGATGTCTGGAAATCTTTAGGGAAAAACTCAATGGTTTTACACAGGACATCAGTCGTTTCAAGTTGGATAGTTACACGTCCACGATGAATGACAAAAGCTGAAAAGAGCAACGTATTCTCTTTGAGAGGAAAAACGTCGTGGTAAATTAAAGGAAAGACGAGAAACGAAAAAGATGCAAAATAACGAGGGAAGAGTTGGTAAGAGAACAAGAAGTAACAAAGAAGAGCACTGAGAAAGGAGAGGCAAGCAAAGAAGAAGAAGAGAAGAGAAGAGAAGAGAAGAGAAGAGAAGAGAAGAGAAGAGAAGAGAAGAGAAGAGAAGAGAAGAGAAGAGAAGAGAAGAGAAGAGAAGAGAAGAGAAGAGAAGAGAAGAGAAGAGAAGAGAAGAGAAGAGAAGACTTCAAGTAATGGCAATAACTTACGAAGACAACTGCCTTTTCGTAATATTTTCACGTCAACTCGATTCTGACAGACAAACAGTTCATAAAAGCACTTGTTCTGGTATGTCTGACCGTTATCCCCACAAACAAGATCTTCGTACGTTGGACAAGACTTCTGGCAAACACAGCGCGCATCTTTAGGTCCAAAAGCCTTGCAGTACGCGTAGAAATTACAATGCACGTTGATGCACGGATGAAGATCTGACAACAACAAAAACAAAGCTATAACCTGATAGGGTAAGCAAAAGCCTAATAAAAGGTGAAGTTTTATCTGGGGGTCAAAATACTGGTTTTTAACCCTCATTGTTTTATTTGAAAGTTGTTTTGTTCCCCCGATCAAACTTCTTTTGACGTTTCAATGCAATACCTCCAACAGTCATGTAGTTGATTGTCACTGGGTCGTGGTGTTCGTTGTAAGGTTGAATGTCTTTCATGCAAACCTTGAATCCATAGACCTTAATATCCTATAATTTCACGAAAGATTCATTGACAGTCACCTTCATTAAAGATTTCGTTGCCTGAATTGTCCGTTCTAAATATCATCATCATCAATCCATTCACTTTCCTTCCTTCCTTCCTTCCTTCCTTCCTTCCTTCCTTCATCCATCTGTACAATCCTACAGTCCATTCGCTTATTAAGTTCGGTTTACCTATCAAATGTTGGCCTTATCATAAGAATGGTAAATGCATTATGCATAAACCAAAGTGCACCGTTTACCTCCAACCATTCCGTGATTGCATTGTTCTCTGGATACACCGTTTTAGGGTTGCCCTTGATTGACACGTGACTTGATGTGGTGATCATGAYTGGTGGGGCGTAGAATGGATGCGTGAAGTTCAATACCTTAATTAAAGGCGGTAAGTGAATAAAAATAAATGGTTGAAGCACACAGCAGTAATAAACTCATTTATCATAAATATAATTTAGTATGAAATACCTATATTTCCACTCTCACTCGTGGAAGATCTTTTCAACACTCGAAGATAAAATTCATATCTCCGTGCAAGCGTCCATGTAATATCATATATATATGTCCCACTATATAGGCTTAGGCATCCCTTAATTTTGCCATGGAAATTCAATCACCACCCCGTCTTTAGATCTTTTCCCTTTATTTTTAACCAAAATGAAAGGAAAAGGACCTGGGAATTAGGTTTTGGAAATTTTAGATGCGAACGTTGCGAGAGCCAAGTACCTTACAGAAGCTGTAGTGCTGTTTCTCKGTGAGAGCATCGACATTGGGCAGCATCAAGTGATTTTGATATGGCATCCTCGGCTTCCAGTCCTGTGGTATGTCTTCCATTGCCAGCCAGTCCTGKRAAAAATATTAACTMCATCATTAGCATAGAATGCGTGACTAGTTTGCTTGCGTGACATACWGCGACCATTGCGTGACTTACCACACGTATGTTACGGTGCATTCCATCAAAGTTCTTCAATTCCCTCAAACAGATTTTGAATTCAAATATKGTARGKTCCTCGACCCAGGCCGCTGTGGCGTCATAGTAGTAGTGAGTGGTTGAGTGGACTGGAGTGAGGWAGATGGATGGTACTTTGGAGAATGACTAGAGATGAGCGAACATGTTTACAAACATTTCTTATTATTAACTCCTGCAAATTTTCCTTTTTAAAGGAAATGACAACCATTGTAAATGAAAACAATACATTACCCCTCCAGACGTTACCACAGAGACGCATTTCGTTCCCGTCGTCCATAGCGATACCGACTGGATTCCCGCAATGCATCGCGGYGGGACAACATCGAATGCAATCCACTGAAGATCAACCCGTCGCGATGAAAKGATCGGCCCTGAMGTTGCCACGCAACCAGTGAAACCGCTGTGACTAATCTGCTCAACCCAGGATACCGCTGYCTCGTAGGTGTTAGCAGGCTCATTTTCGTGTATGGATAGTTGGATGTTTATTGACTTGGTGGRGAAGGGTGGGGTGAAGTTGAACCGCTGACAATTGAACTCGATGACGGGATGAACTTGTACAGTTKCTTTACCRGACAAAAATGTTCCATCTAGRAAAKTGTTGGATAAATTTATTAATACAAAGCGARCAAGCACGGTTCTTTTTGAAAGTCTAACTTTGAATGAACAATGATTTTGTATGAATTAATTAATGTTAGATGGATGGATACATTGAMAAAAGAATGAGAAGATGACTGGCTGGGTGGGTGGGTAGTGGATGGGTAAATAAATGAATGATTGGATGAACAATTGAATAGAAAGAAGCGAATATAAATAATGAAAGAAGACGCACCTATTTGTGAGACAGTCATGAATATAATGACGGTTATCAACCTCACGAACTCCATTCTGCAGATGATAGAAAATCAAGACTTGCATATAAAAAAAAGCTCAAACTGCTTCCACAAAGACACATGGACCTTCTAAATATTTATCTTTCATCGTTTCAAGTTTCCCTCCAACAAACGAGCTCTCTAAYACACCAAGTTCTATTGAACATATAAACAATTTATGATTTACAGCTTCTGACGCCAACTAAAATAGCTTTTAAAATCGATTATACGAAAAAATAAAACTGAATTTATACGGATTGATTAGTATAACTTTGGTGCATTTAGGTATGTATAATTTTTTTGTATCTTACCTTATTTCGTGCTGTAATTGCTGGACAATATGCATGTATGATCTAGTGCATGCCAATGCATATATTATTGCATACATTGCAGCATGCATTGGTGGCATCTACATCGATTTCTTAACAACTTTTTGTGACGAAAGGCCTTATGGGGCCTCTCGCGTCACTATGTCATTGTGTTGAGTAACCGAACCGGACCAAACCGTAACCATCCAGGCGTTCCTTGCGAAGCCTTGAAATGTTTGAGTTGAAAAGAGAAAATCTCTATAGAAAAACAAACGAAGTAACAACAGCAAAGAACAAGAAGAAATATTAAAAGAACAAGAAAAGAAGAAAGAAGAAAAGAAAAGAAGAAACAAACAAAAAAAAACAAGCAAAAAAAAAAAAAAGAAAAGAAAAATTCCAGAAGCAGGACTCGAACTCAGAACTTTCATTTCAGGAGAAGATGTACCCCCCCGGAATACATAAGAAATAAGTGAAAATAAAAAAACTAAAAAGATGGGACGATTCCCCCGAGACATTCTATGAAGCTGAGGCGGCGAATCGGCTTACGTTACGGTTAGAGATTTCGGCCCTTCCACGCTATCCCGAGTGAACATAAAACTTAGTCTTAACCAAAAGGCCAGGGAGTGAGGGGGTAGCCGCCCACTAGAGCATACCTTTAGCTACCCTCTTAGACCATCGTACTATGAAGACACTTAAGATATCTAATACCTAATTGGGATAGTCTATTCGGTGAAGTTCTATGCTAATATATGACGTCACCAAAATCCTTAGGGAGCAGCGAGCCAATCAGAGCTCAGCTCATTGGGGTAGTCTATTCGGTGAAATTCTATGCTAATATATGACGTCACCAAAAAATCCTTAGGGAGCAGCAAGCCAATCAGATATCAACTTAGGAGTTAGTAAGCATAATCATTCTTCAGTGGTCCAGTATTATTTAATGGGGGTGGGGATGGGTGTTGAGTGCTGGTTTGGCCGAATACCGATGTTCGATATAATTATGTGACGGCTTTCATCAAGCTGTTCAATTGTCGTGATTGTTTTCTAAATCATCACAGGAAAATTAGGTGTACAGTTCTTATATCAGAGGCATTATTAGTATTCGAATAAACAACACGGCCAAAAATCTCTTGAAATTTTTAACGTAAGTGATTACAGAGCAGGGCGATACTAGCTGTTGCCAAAGATTTGCCGGGATTCAACGGAACACAATTGAAGACCTCTGAAGTTCCAACACTATTACACTCGAACGTTCCGCATCTTCGTTCTTGATGATATAAAAGTTTATAAATGGATTAATATTGATTATCAAATAATTTTTGAGTTTAGATATAGTTAACGGAACAATTGACGWGGATGAATGATAATCCGCAAAAGGTTAATAAAGAAATCTTGAAGAATGGAAAAAAAATTAACAATCTTTGGGTTTCATTGTAAAAYTATAATCAGGCGAATGTCGATAGTAATTAACATGGATATAAAAATACAGTTTAGATAGACAGTTTGATCGATAATCGTAAGCTCGAGAATTTATCATGAGTTTAAAAGTCAACAGATACAGAAAGATGTCTTTGACTACAGCTAAATTAAAGCTCTAAGGACTCCATGTCGTGGATAGAAATCCCGTTTCCGAGTCTTTCAGATGGATATGTTTAATGCAGGCAGGGAAACAGGGCGCCTCGCGTCAGGCCCCACGGGAGGAATGATCAATAGTCACAATAGGTTCCTTGGCCCCTGGGAATCGCGGGCTGGTGTTAGACTTGCTACAAGTCGGACTCTCTTTGGACTCAGAAAAAGAAAGAATAAAACTCCGAGCGCAAAGCGCGAAGGGGCCTTAAAGGGACTTTGTGAAAGTCTAGCCTGGTGTGTATTTTATAAGTAACGTATAGTTAATCGACACGTATGCTTCCAGTTCCTTGCAGCGTACATTGTATGTAGATAATTTAGAAAACGTTGCATTCGAAGTTTCTCACTCAGTCATTTCTATTCTTTTGTTCTTGTTTTTCATTTCTCATATTTTGTATTCTTTTTCTTAGTTGTTTATTTGTTTCGTTTATAAATGTTTGAACATGACCTGGTCACATCATGTGGGAGTTTATTCATTGGGCAACAAAATGTGACAAACTTGAAGTTTAAAAGACTATTTTTATTTGCTTTCTTGTTGCTATTTTCTCTTTTTTCTTTTTAAGGATCAAACGCTTGCTTGGTTGACAAAGCTAATTGTCTCTGCTCAACGTGGATATTCTGTTCGTGCGTACGTTCTCATCGCCTTCCACGACGTTTGCRCGATTCAACGTTGACACCTACGAAGTCTGTCTTTCCAATGAAGAAATCGCTTGCGGAAACGCAAGGTCTTCAATAACAGGTAGTWACGTTTACGGGAATATCACTCACGTCCCACTACGGAATAAGTCCCCTTGAGTAACCGGCACGATAGTAACGGTTGCGAATCCCCGGGAGGTAATATCGGCCCATCGGCCCCGACGTACACATACGGAAAGCGTAAAACGCAAAAACTCGCCGGGGGGATAGAAATACCGTCTGCCGGACCAGGAAAGAAAACGGGACACGGAGGCGACGCTGGCTGAACCCGAGGGTTGAGTGATATGACTACGGGAGAGTCTGGTGTAGCGATAAAGATGCGAGCGAGTTGAGCAAGAAGAGGTTTCGATGACCGACAGGGGCATGGGAAGTACAATGGCATATCCATGGTAACGAGCTTGTGTGCTGATTCCTTCACGTGACCGGAAGTTGTTGCTTTGACCATCTTATCAGGACCCGAACATATAAACCTACAATGAGTTAATTAAAACATGATATGAATATTCTACACTAACCGACAAAAATGACGTCACGTTCTTTGAAGCCAATCAATGAGCGAGTTATACAAAAGTGACTTACCTGTGACCCCTAGGGCATTCGTACTCATTGCCAATATAAGCTCTAACGGTCGGTGGTCCTACATCTCGTTGATTTCTTCCTCGAGGTCTCGAAGAACCACTAGAAGATCCTTTACTTGACGTCTGCGAGACAATTAATTGAGCTGGGCTCCCTTTACCTTCACACTGCCGGTGAGCATAGCTGAGAGCCTGGTRTAGAGGAAGTGAAGGAGTACTCCCTGCTACCGGAAGTTCATTAGGAGCAGGCCAGGCTTCTGTTGATGTTGTTTTGGTGCCGAGGTGTTTTCCATGACTATCAAACTGACTGGTTAAATCAGAATGGTTCTCATCCACTAACGGGATGTCCCATGCCAACAGGAAATTACTCCCAGGGAAAAACCCTGGTTGCTCCAGTCCTTTCGCAGGCTGATATGAGGACAGGTTTCCAAGCCTGCATATCGACCACGATGGAAATCGCGGTAAAGCGCCGGGTAATGATTGGTCAGAAAGCATCGTCTGTAGAAACGCTTTCTCAGCTCCTGGCTTGTCCTTATTTGGAACTGTGACGTCACTTCCATGGATGTGAGGCTCGGCGTTGCTCAGGACTTCTTGTGAGTCCGCAGTACTTGTATCCCCCATTCCCACTGACGTCACACTCTTGTATTCGGTACCAGTCCCCTCGTGTGACATGTTATCAAACATAGAATGAAAGCCACCCAAACTGAACAAGGAATTGGAACTTTGACCGTGACTTCCGGCGGGAACATTTCCGGTGAAAGGATGACTTCCGGTGAGATCTTTCGAGTCACGTGACATTAAAGCCGTCTTAGGAATAGGAATAATGCCACTAACATGAGATGTAGTGGTCTGAGATTCTTCCTTTGAACTCTGGTTACTACTGTCTCCCCCGGCGCCATCCTCATTCACAGGTGGGCTTTTGTTTTCTAAGGGCATTTCCAGGAGGGGTTCGTCTTCATGGACCTCTGTTGTTTTGAGGGAGATCTCTGGGGCTTTGGACAGAGAGAAGCTTGGATGACAGGGCAGCACAAGATGCACAAGATATGCACAACACTTGTCCTCAAGGACTTTGAAAAAGTCGTAGTTTGCGGTCTGTGAAATGAGAATAAAATATCAGCAGTGCTCGACGGGAATCCAAAGTGAACCCGTGTTCTAGACAGAGAGAAGCTTGGATGACAGGGCAGCACAAGATGCACAAGATATGCACAACACTTGTCCTCAAGGACTTTGAAAAAGTCGTAGTTTGCGGTCTGTGAAATGAGAATAAAATATCAGCAGTGCTCGACGGGAATCCAAAGTGAACCCGTGTTCTAGTGTAGTAGGTAACGATAGAGCGGATTTCCTATGAGTGGGAAACGGACGGTACTGTACTGTGACCGTAATTGTACTGTAACCAAATTCTAGTGCCCCATTGGTTCACCAAAATTGTGAAGGCCAGGTCCGGTAACTGTGAGGTAACGGTGTCCCACTCATACGAAATCCGCTCTATAGTATCTTACCCGTATATCAAAGGGATCATCTCTATGTTCTTGTGTTCTCCCACAATTACACGCACATAGGCTCGTGATACGACTAGAGTGTGGCTTACAAGGAACAGTGACATCGTCATGGGATTTTTCTGACAAGTATTCACCAAGACTCTCAGGGACTTTGTGATACTGCAAACAAAAAAACAATAAAAATAAAAAACACAATTTATAATATGGTGGAGAACCCAATGATGTTGATGATMAATTTTCCCTACTGGATAAACACAATGTCTTCCTGTCAAACTTCTTTCTTCACAAAGCTGTCTTCCATTCATCCAAATCTAAAAAGTACATCAACGTTAGAAAAAATCAAATCAAAATTGTGTGATAAAATGAGTGTTTCACGGACCCATGTGGGATGGATTCTACCAACCTTGTTACAATCGTCCTGCAGTTGCGCAGCGTAATGTTCATAYGCTGGTCCTCTCGCATGAAGAGCAAACACTCTTTGCGCTTGCGCAAGCTGTAAATTAAAGAAAGATATTTCGTGTATACAATCAAAACAATGATGACGATAATGATAAAAGAATATTCAAATAGTTCTGTTTACCTGATTAAGATGGAGATTTTGTGTGTAGTGAGATGGTAATCCTTCCAGATAAGCACTGCTCGCTAGGGGAAGAACTTTACGACAACGACTGAAAACAAAACATACATTAATATAAAGTACTTTCCGCATCGTCTATTCTTCTTTTTTAAGTTACGTCACAGCGGCCATCTTGGAGGAACTTCAACAAAGCATTTCTCATTAGTATCTTATGTTTATTCCTCCAACATGGCCGCCAGTCTTTTAACTTTTGAATCTCATGTGAATGATTGAAAACCATCAATTTAATAACATCACAATCAAATAACATTACTTCTAAGAAGAGACGATTTCCGAGATGCGGGGCTGCGTTGTATTTAAAGGTATATTTGAACAAGTTTCGAAGATCATTTAATTTTTCTGCCAGAATAGCTTGTTTTCAAGCGCGGTATCTTACCCTTCAGAAAACTTCATGTCCAAGTCCAGCTGAGACGCCATTGTTGTAAACGGTGCGGGAAGGTCGGTGATCGTGTTCATGAAGAAGTCGTACAGCTCTAAACAGACTTGCGCCCAYTGACGACAACTGGGAACCTGAATATAATGGAGTGAAAAAGTTAATAAATGTCATAATAAAAACTCACTACGAAGAATCAATTCAACTATCATTATTATCATCATCATCACCCCATCTGCTGATTCATCGTTATCAACACTATTGCAGTCATTTATTACCAATTATCAAATGAACATCTTTACCTCAACATGTGTGCCTCGACGTCCATCAGCCACCCCGTCCCGTGATGCATCGCCCGTCATCAGGTTGTCAATCTGTTGTTTTAAATAGTCTTTGAACAGGACATCCTCTAGAGAACTGTCGTTGAATACATCTTTAGGCAATGCTTTTCCTGGTTTAAATATTCCTTTCTCTTTAAGCAGCATACTCGATTCAGCTATTGAAACAAGGAATACCTTATTAAAATAATGTAGTTTAGCCTCGTGGTGCTTAATCCCCCCCCTAGGGGGACTACGCTGAGTAAATATAGAAATGTGGTTAATCTAAGACTGTTTACATGAGGTAGGGTGCTTCTAGTGSTAGGGTCAAAATCCTTTGTTTTCAATCCTCCAGGGAAAAGAAAACAAAAGAGTTAGCCCTGCCATGTAGGGCACCCTATCTCATGTAAACAGGGTCTATGACCTATAGGAATTGTTGGATATTATGAAAAGGCAGAAACACAATGAAATTTCTCGCGGTGCTAATTTATTTCTAGATAATCAAAATGAAAGGAAAATATGACATTTCTGCGAGATGAATAAATATGTTCAATACTGATAACTCATTTCAAAGTTTCTGTAATATTCTTTATTCTAAAGGGTGGATTGCCGTGCGGTTATAGGTGAAATATAACACGAAGGGTTTTGGGAGAACACGAAAAATGCCTAAAAAATTACGAACGCAGCGAAAGTTATCAAGTTATCGCGAAAGGCATTTACTGGCGAAATAAATCACGCTCTTAATTGAACCAATCAGAACTACGTACTATTACATCTATATCATATTCTTTAACAAATCTGAAGGTTATGTATTATACAGCGTGCGTTATATCACTGTGATTTCCTTCTTCTAATTTCTTTCTTCAATATTACAGTTTTGTCTCATTGATTCTCGTCAGCCGTCTCTTCTTTCCGTTACATTACGTCAGGTTTCTACGGTAACTTCCAACACCAGAAGCAAACAGAAACTTTAACGGTTTCTGATTGGTGGGTAGGTTGGATGGCGCACAGGGTGATACCCCCATCGAGTTTCTTTGGTCTCCTTGAAACAATTGACTACCATCTTTGATTAAACCATGCTGTGTTATTACTAGTTCAGTTGTATAAAAAAATTCAAAGTATTTCAGAACCTTTTCACAGGAAGGTATATTACACATAAAATGAATTCTGTTGACGGTAAAACGTTCATAAAGATAAAGAAATGTCCAAACGTTCTAAATATTTTTTTAAAGATATGTATCGGTATGTTATTTAACTTTGTGTAAATTATTATATCACAGCTTGATGGCGTTCTTATTCATCGCTCTTGTTAAACATCAAAAATTCGTTGAATCATTTTTTTTCTAGAACATTTGCCCTTATATGGCTCAGGATTATTATGTACAAGATTTTGCAATGCGAATAGTTTATTTTAATATCGTCTTTTTAGATCAATCTTCTATACTAGAAAGGTTTTAGCACACACTAAAGTATAAACAGTCACGGATTGACGAACACCAGTCTTTGCTGTGTTTCATCTTGAGAAGATGATGAAACAGCATCAACAAAATGACGATAAAGCATGCGAGTATTCCAAGCACAAGGCAACTTATTTGACAAAATTGGAAACAAAACTATGTGAACTGGAAGCATGGCTTATGGTGGACCGTTTCCAACTTATGAACAAAACCTTCAGCCATACAACACACCCGAAAAGCGAGAATGTCGAGAGACACTTATCAAACACGCTGTAGAATGTCTTACAATAGGAAGAGAAACGTCAACTTGTGTCAAACGACACCAAGTACGAGAAGCTTGGGACTTGTTCGAACAAAGTGGAGAAGCACATCGTTCATTCAAAGATGAAGAAGTGATACAAATAAAAGATAAAATTGAAAAATGGGAACTCTTTTATGACAGTCAGACACAAAAGAAGAAACCCTCCGATCTTCGTGTGTGCTACCTCGCTGGTGAAAACCCTCTTAATGATCTCAATGTTTTTATCAAAAATGGTGTCCTTAGCCAGAACATTTGGGCCATCGAAAAAGACCCCAAGATTCAGAAAAAGGCAGAGATGGCTTTGACAAAGTCAGCCAAAACCATACATGTCCAGTTTGTCAAGGCTAATTTTATTGAGATCATGAAAGACGAGCAACAAGATAAATTTGATATAATTTACTTTGATGCATGTGGTTCATTACCATCTAAGAAACAGGAGACCTTAAAGGCCATAGGACATGTGTTCCTCTACAACAAGCTGGCATCTCCAGGTGCACTGATAACTACCTTCTCGTTTCCAGCAATGGATACCGAGGACTATGAAGGAATCGATTTATGTCAATTGGCGAAAGGATATTTGAAATTCCGTCTCAAGAACACCA